ATGAGTTTTATCAAAAATTATGGTTAAAACTTATTTGTGCTGTTAGAAATTACAAAAGTTTCTACCGTTCTGTCTCTTGTACACATCTTAAATATATGTGTGTAACACAAATGTGTGACAGTAAATCATTGTGTTTTGTCAGTACGTTTGATTCTTCTGTATGGTGAAGCAAAGGGTGGTTAAAGTATTTGGAAATCCCACGGTAAAGTCCCTTGTTGGTTTTTTGAGATTCATATTGCGATATTTATTTATTCATATTTATTCCACACGAATTTCATCGCGTTCACCCCGCGCGGCCGCCTCGTGGCCGCCGCGCGATCGCCGAGCAGAGACCGCGTGCTCTAACTGCCATGGCAAAATACGCTCTTTTTATTTTGCTTTTACGTTGTAACTTAAATGAACGTCCCGAACACACGGGCGAGTCTGGCTTGAAATTGGTCTACGCGGTGGCCTAGCGGCGGCGATAGAGGCACATGTTATCACTGAAAAAACCCAACAACATTTTAGTCATCTATGGATATCTAATCAGTTTAAACCTGATGAACAGTAAAGATCTGACTCATAATGTTACTCATACGTGAGGCGCACTATAAGTTTCCGGAATGAATAAGAAAAAAAACTATAAGTGATCAGAAATGAATATATTGTTTCACAAAATATGCTCCGTTAACGTTAATGCATTTTTCCATACGAATGAACCAATTTTGAAAACATTTATGCCACTCCTCCGTGACAATCTCGAAAACATATTTTTCATACTCTTCGACAGCCTCTTCAGGTAATGGAAATCGTTGACCGCGTAACTGGTTCTTCATTTTTGGAGATAAATCGGGACTGTACCCGAGACGGCACTTAAGGTCAATGTTGATCACCTTCAAAAATTCATTTGTCTGTCTGGCCGTGTGAGAACGGGCATTATCGTAGTGCAAGATGATACTGCGTTTACGGTTATTGTTACGGAGTTTGTCAATAACTTCCGGCAAACAAATGGTCGTGTACCAATCACTATTTACGGTACAACGATTCTCCAAAGCAACAGTAGCCACGTGTCCAGTTTTATTAAAAAAAGGAACAATCCTCCGCTTAGAGGCACTTTGCACGCCCGCCACTTTGATTGGTTTCGGCTCGTCTCGAAAGACCCATACGTTCGATTGCTGCTTCGTTTTGGGATCATAACTATAAATCCATGTTTCGTCACCTGTGACTACGTCCCATACCAAATTTGACGCCCCTTTGTTGAATCTGGTAAGCATGGCATTGCACCAAGTGAAGCGATCCGTTTTTTGAGCCTCAGTCAAATTGTGTGGTATTCACCGAGGGCACAGCTTTTTCACACCCAAACGTTTGTGTAGTATTGATTGTATTTGACTCATGTCTACGCCTGTAGATGCCCGAATCTCATGGTATATCACATGCCTGGCTGTTTTGATCACAAAGCGCACAGCATCAATGTTTTTGTTGTTCACAGCAGTGGGCGGGCGACCATCGCGCAAATCCATCACTGAGTTTCACACGACCACGTTTGAATTCTGCAAACCAGCTATAAGTAGTCGTCTTGCATGGTGCTTCATCGACAAAAGCAGTTTGAAGCCGAGCGAAGCTCCGCTGAGCTGTTACATTACACTTAAATTCGTAGAAAATCATACTACTAAAATTTTCACGAGTTAAATCCATGGTGATATAAACAACCAATTTCTAAAATGACGCCACAATGCAAAAAGAAGTGACAGTCAGATGAAACAAACTGTATTCTACAGCCAAAGACTTCCATTTTCAAATGTAATTATTTTTTTTATATTTTTTATGTAAGTGGCCAGTTCCGGAAACTCATAGTGCGCCCTATGTATTAAAGGACAAAAAAGGACTTCAAAAAAGGAAGAGGATCTCAATTCGTTTGCCTGTTCTTTTTAGTGTGCATGTTATGCAATTACTCTGACATCTTAGAACCGATTTCGATGATTCTTCTTTTGTTGGAAAGAGTGTATCTCAGCAGTGGTCACATTTAAATTTGAAGACACTATACCACATCTACTGGTGGCAATTTAGGAGATGAATACGATTTATTGAATTTAACCCACTTTTCGTTATCCGAGTTCAATCAAACTTGGCACAAAGATATAATTCAAATTAAAAAAAAAACACTGCAAAAACGATTAACAAAGATTTGAGGTCGGTTTTTTTAATAAAAAAGTTATACTTGTTTTGTCACCCCTATACCTGCGTGCTTTACGTAGAAGGTAAATAGATAGAAAATTCTTTATTGCTAGCACCACATACAACGAGATTAGAGGACAATAATTAAACACATTAGCGGGGTAACAATTGGCGGTGTTATCGCTTACAGCTATTTCTTCTAGACAACAACAAATGTAAATATAAACACACTGGTTGCAAACATTTTATTTTATTCTTCTTCTTCTTTTAAATGTGGCCCCTTCGAATTAACGATGATTTCGCCAATGTCAAGTAAAAATGACTATGTACGGTAGTTTTGTAAAAATAACATAAAAATTATGGCAGACGACGCCTTAGCCAGACCGGTGCCTTCCACAAACTCTTTCATTTTATATAAAAGAAATACATGGTGATTGTAAACTACTTTATAATATTTTTTTTAAGTCGAATCGCACCTTTAGTGTCGAAGCTTTATTATTAAAGTTTCGACACTAAAGTTGACAAGAACATTTAAAAGAAGAAGAAGAATAAAATAAAATGTTTGCAATCAGTGTGTTTATATTTACGTATCGTGTGAAAATTTTCTTATGTCAACTTTAGTGTCGAAACTTTAACAATAAAGTTTCGACAAGAATATTTAAAAGAAGAAGAATAAAATAAAATGTTTGCAATCAGTGTGTTTATGTTTACGTATCGTGTGAAATTTTTCTCATGCTAAAGTTGACATGAGAAAATTTTCACAGAGATAGACATAATAGTTTGAAAAAAAAATTATAAAGTAGTTTACAACCACCATGTAATCTCTTTACTAACAAAAGGCAACTTATAAGCCTTTACCTAACCATTGTTTGATTGATATTGTAAAACCGGTACCCCTACCATGCCCATTAGTATCATAAAAGCATCGTCGCTGAAGTCCGGTTTCAACACATTTGCGTTGTACCAAGGGTACCTAGTTCATTAGTACCTTAAATATCTTAAGGCAGTACTTACTGTTTTTCATGTATGTTTCAGCCGCATAAACTGTTTTTGTGTAATTCTACCTTAAAATCATCATAGTGCAAAGAATAGTTCCTATTACATCTTTCGCCTTCGCTGGCTCCTACAGACGCAGAACGTTTTGTTGAGATAAGTATTTTGTAGCGTGGCAAATTCAGTAGTAACAATGGTCCAGTAGACGCTATGTTGCCTCGAGCACCGACACAAATTTATTTGATTGTGAGAGTAAGCAATGGAAGTGCTTACAGCAACAACATCAACCCATTCATACGTCCCACTGCTGGGCACGGGGCTCCACTCAAGCGAGGATTTAGATTACAGTCCGCCACGCTGGCCTAATGCGGGTTGGAGTTTTCACACGTTCTCCCAGGTCTGTGAATCTTCTTCAACGTACAGGTTTTATTACGATGTTTCACCGAAATGCGCATGGTGAATTTCAAATTAAATTTCGCACATCAATTCCGAAAACCGGAGGTGCGAAAACCAGAGGTGCAAGTGCAGTCGGTCAAACTATTAGACTACTACGGCTCATGGAAGTACTTATTTCTTCCAGGGAAGTAGTGAAATTAACTACTATGAATTTATTCGACGACAAAAGGTTTTGTGGGGTAATTTATAGAGCCAGTCGGATTTATAAATTCCTTCCCCATAAATTGCTATAATCATGTGAATTGCACATTGTCACAATAATGACATATATTTAAGTTATTAAATATCTTGCGAGTAAGTTTCTTCTTTATTCTTCTTTCTTCTTTTATTGTAATTGTAATTGGGACTCACTAAGGGCGCCTTCAAATTAGCGCTGCAGTGGCGTGCCACTTGTACAGGCAGTTACAATTCGTGAAGTAAACGTATACGTGGTTGCTGTGCCGCAGTCGCGCCACTGTAGAGATTCTATAATCGTATAAGTTGAAGGTGCCGTTACAGTTTAATTCTTTTATAGTTATGAAGTTGGCCCTTTTTCAACATGCATGTTTGTGATGGGATCTGAATTTATAATACGCTTGTACATACAAATACACGTGATCTAGTTCGTATTTGTGAAGTACAAGTTTAAAACAAAGATTTACGAGATATAAAATATTTTTACATAAATTACTTTTCTTTAATTGTTGTCTGTCCTGTACAAGTAACAGGTGTTAATACAAAATAGGTAGATATACATAAGTGGAAGTTTGTAGACGATATTGTAAATTTGTTGTGTAAAACACGACACAATGTTCAAATTAAGCGTCGTTAGCAGCGCTGCAGAGATGCGACTAGGGCGCGGCAGCCGCGTCACAGTGGAGCCACTGCATTACTTCCGTAAGCGTCAAGTAACGTTATAACATGTAAATTCGAACCGAAAATAAGAAATTTCCAGTCTCAGTGTATCATTGTTAGTTATGCTATTATTTTATTATAGTCTTGCATCCAATAGTATATTTAGTTAATTGTTGTTCATAAAAAAAGCTTTGGTTTTATTAAATATCTCTTTATTATAATTTAAAAGTAACATTAAAAATTTTATTTTATGTAATATGTACATACTGCATGCTTAAACGTTTTATTTAAATTAATATTGAGCTTAATTATAAATGTGCCTTAATTTAATAAATATTTTTTAAATATAACTACTTATTATTTCATGCAAAATCTGAATCAAGAGGACGCATTTGGTTCAGATCTAGCACGTTTTCGCATAACTTAAATTAATATTACCAAAAAATAATGAATGAAAATGCAGTGCAAAGTTTTACATAAAGCTATGTATAATAAAATACGAACGATAGAGTATTTTATATTAAATTAATAAAATATAATAATTACCTATTCTTCTTATAAATAAGTATCTAAAAAAACACTGTGCAATCAACAACATTTTCCAATTTACAGTCAAATCCTAGAAATATTATTTAGTTACTAATGATACTTAAAAATCGTACGACAGATATAAATAAGCAATAATCAAAACATTTTGTTACATAAATAACAAAATGTGATCAACCAATCTTATATGAGGAACATCAAATACTTTAAGCGCTACATAGGTGCGCTCGAATATCAGAATCCATAAAATTGAAACCTCAGACATTATCACTAAAGATAATGGGGAGTTTGCGACCACATTCCTCATTAAAATATATAGTAAAGTAATAACACTCAATAATATTAGGACCTATTCTACAATAGCGTACTCTAAAAAAGCTTAGTATTATTAGCGTATTAATGCAAATTAATGTGCATTTCAATAATTTTGTTCAATACTTCGAACCATCTTAACAGCCATTAAATTCTACTGCTGGTTATACAATTATAAAACTTTCTGTTAAACCTAGAGTAAAGATACTGGGTATAAACTTGTATGTAAAATAAACTGATTCGCTTCAATACGAAATTAATTTTAAGACAATGAGGACGATACTTTGGAAAAAACAACTTATTTCTTATAATTATTAATACAACCACATGGAATCAGCGCCTCACCATACCGGGGCTGACGCTCTCCTAACACGGAACGTCAGCTAAGGTTATGTTGAAGGGGCTGATTAGAATCAAGTAGGATCGAATTTCGGCCTTTGTATTAAAAATAATAAACAAATGAGTAATTTCACAAAAAATAATTGAATATCATGGTAGTAAAACCTCGTGATATTCATTAAACGTAAAATTAAAACTAATTTCTTCTTTGTGCATGGTCTTAAAAATCAAAATTCAAATGTAATTTAAAAGCTTATAAATTAAAAAGAGAAACTAAAACAGTGAAAAAGAGTAGGGTAAAAGAAACAATAGCCGTGTGAGCATCATTCTCTTGTATCCACGTAGAAACTTCCTCTAGGGATCGTTCCCTCCACTCTAGGTTCACCTGTGCATTTTCCAAAGCACTCTCTGCGATTCCCTCGGACTCGTGAAGGTCATTGCCTAACCTAATCCACATGCGCAACTGCAAGAACAAACATTTAAAATTAGCAAACTAAACCTCGTCTTGTAACCATACATTATGGGCCTTATTTGATAATCAAAGCTTGGCTCATTCGCCAAGCAGTTTTTTATAAATATTATGCAGGTTGAAAAGCACGTCAAGTTTGGCACTTAACATTCAAATTAAACTGTATACCGCTTGCAACAAGAATGGTCCAAAATATAAACTTGATTTGATCTTGATTGAACAATATAAAGAAATGAAAATAAATAAATGTGTTTACTGTACCCCGTACCCCGTATTTAAATAGAGGCGGTAAAATAAATTAGAGTGCTTTGGTATTGCTTTTTCGTCTTTTTTGTATTTTCTTCGGGAAAATGTGTCATAGTGAGAAGAGTGATAACGAAAATACAGTAAATTGTACTCCGCCTAATTTAAAAGACGAGCGAATATTAGCCAAATATCAAATATTACTTTTAATATTAATTAATATTTTTTTACTTTTTTATGTTAAACATCTTCATCTCTTTAGTCTTTTATTATTTCCTCACATTCTTTCAGAAAGACACTACCTATATATGTCTCGGCGGGAACGGGGATTTCTTGACCTAGAGCGGGGAATACAAAGCCTCGCTGACGCTTGGCCTTGCAACTCATGCTTATCGAGAAATCTCATATTTCCCGGATTCTATAATAATGTACTATTACTTACATTATACTCTAAATCACCATTTAGAATGTTGTCACCCAAAATATATAATAGCTCTTCTAATTTTTGTGGTCCACCGTACCTATAAAATGAATTCATCATCAATAATGACAATAAGTAAACCCATTTCATACACGAAACCAACAATTTACTTACATATCTCTGATATCATTAGTATTGGACTGCATAAAGTCCAGGACGCGAAACACGTTATCTAAGCCGCTTCTGATTATGGCAGCAAGGACTATTGACCGCTCTTCGATGCCAAAAGGACTGTCTTCTGATATTGTGTCCATCATTAACCTAAAGATAATTGATAAACAGGTAAATATTATAGACAAAATGTTTAGGTACTGTCAAGTATAGACAAAATAAAGTTTCTTTGTGATGGTCAAGTGACACACGAACAAGTCGTGCGCTTGTTGGTGACCCCCACGTTATTTTACAGAGCCTTCACACTCAAAGACTTGAGGGACAAGGCCACTGCGTCCGTCACTTTGAGACATACAGTTGAAAAGTCCCATGCATCACCAGCATCCATACCCTTCAAAACAGTAATGCTCATATTACTACTTGGCGGTAGAAATAGGTATACTCCTGGAAGAACTTTATCACAAAGAGCTCTACTACTACTAAACTGAGTAGTTTGTTAGTAATTACCATGTTAGGTGATTTAAATTAAAGTATTTTACTGAAAACTTACTGATTAATAAATTCCTCGTCATTTGAACAAGCCAGTGACTCCAATACAACAAGGCGGTCATAGAGACTGATGTCAGTCTCCAAATAAACGTAAAGTAAATCTGTGGCCTCGGCTCCAGTTTCTCGTACCATAGTGCAGAAAACTGCTGGTTGGATATCGACAGGGACTCTAGGATTCCTGAATCAATCGATTCATCATGAAGGATTTTCAATATTTGCAAGAATTGTGTATTTCTTTCAAAATATAAATACAACAGCTTCACTTCCATAAAAATGCGAAAACAAAATTTTAGACCTTAATAATAATTTTTAGTTATTTTGCATGAAAAAAACTATATTAATTACTAATTTTGTCTAAAAATAAATAAAGGAATTATTTTAACTTTTTAACACTCTTTAAAAAAATTTTTAGTGCTATACACTAACTTACACTGCAGGTTCTTCGCTGTTTGTATCATAAAACCAGTCAATCGCAGCAGCTATGCAAGGATCGTAGTTAGAACGACAAGCGTGATCCATAACAATACCGCGAGTCAATGATGTCATAGCTGGCTCATTGTCTGACAAATCTGGGCTAAACGATACCTTGTTCTCGAAAGTTTCGACTGTCCTTTGAACCATACGCTAAAAAATATAACAATATTGATTAAATAAATAATATCGAAATCATTAAATATTTTATATTATAGCTAAAAAATATAAATAACATCAGAACAACTACATATACCAATTCAATCCAAACGATGCAAATCAACTTTAGACTTACCACATAAATATCGGATTCATCGGCGCTAAACAGCATTTTTTTTAGAAAATCCATATTCCTGACAAAGGCTTTCCACGGTCCATACTCCGTCTCGTGCGCCCAAGTTAGTGTTAATCTTAAAGCAACATCGTAGTCTAGTGTACCAGCCCTCGCTAAGTTAAGAGCGTCGTCTATCAACTGAAAGACATATAAGAAACTTAATATATTAAAGAAAGAGTGTGAAGACTTCAACGGAAGTGGTCTATCAAGTATCTTAAAACTCACTGAAGCACGATTTAAGGGATGAATTTCTTGCCTCCTTTCAGGGTCGTCTAAAGCTGATATTATTCTGTCCCAATGTTCCACGTCATAGTTTACGCGATAATAACCTGGAAAGTTATATCTTATAAACCTTTGCTTATGTCCATATATACTAACATGGAAATATATGTATACACAAACGTAATACCATACAATTTGTTTTTCATTCCGTATGTTATTACGGAATGAAAGTAGCAATGAAATGAACTGTACTTACATACTCATCATTACTCCTGTTTTCCACTGCAGCAGGCAGAGATCATGGAGCTCCACCTGCTACGCACCTGACATACCTCCTTCGACTCCTCCACTTTCATCAGTCTCTTCATACATGCCCGTTTATTCTTAGTACTTTCAACTCCGCTTTTTTTAAGGACATTCCCAATCTAATCGACTTATGTGTGGCAAGCTCTTGTTCTCCCTACGTCTTCATCCACATTCGCTCTTTACATTTCTGCCGTCAATCTATCAACATTCATACTTTCTACGTAACCAAACCATAGAAGCACCTCCCTCTTTACCCTGGTCACCAAAGGTAATCATCTTTCATATCAGAACACTCTCTTATTTAATTTTTTTTTTTTAAGTTACAATAATTTATTTAAAAATTTAATTTAAGTTACAAAGATTTATATTTAATACATCGAGTAATATGGTGGGGAATATTACACAATTTCCCATTGAAAGTGATGAACGCTGTACGATGTACGGTGATATTTATTTACGTTTTAACTACTTTTAGTTGTGTATTAAGATTTTTAAAATAACCTTGTCCCTGAAGATTAAAAATAATGTAATCGTCATCTTCCAAAGTAAATGGTAGAGGCATTAGATCTGTACTCTCCATCATCATAGTGGGATGCATATCACCGTAGTTCTGATCTCGATTCGTAGTGAAAGTGACTGGAATTTTGTATCGCACATCCCCGCCGCCGGCCAAACTAAAATGCCCCTTAAATACAAAGGATTGAAATTGATAAAATCTTGCAATTTATATTTATGTGAAAAAAGCTAATACATTTATTTATATTTAGAAAATGACTTACTTTTCTTTTTAATGCGTTGATACATACCTGTGTAAGTAAAACCGCGTTAGCTGATGTCCAAGCGACGTGAAGGACGGGGTAACCCGTATTCCTAACCCAAGGCTGAACAAAGTCCCAAATGTCAATATTGTCGTCCTCAATTGTATCATCCACGAAAGTAAAGAAGTCGAACATAGAGATTGGTGTCACAAACCTGTAGCAATCATTTTGATAGAATTAATTATTGGAGAAATAATACTTGCTGGAATAAGCATTTATTACGGAGTACATGGACTATCCTGATATCAGTAAAACTTAAAAAAAATGTATTTCTTCGTCTTCGTATTGGATTATACATCAGGCACGTCCATAAACATTTAACTTTTATCAAATATATCGGAAAGATCAAATCATGTTGTTTACCTTCGATTTAACAATGCTTGCCCGGCTTTTAAAATGAAATCATCTTCACCACTGAGTACGAATCTTAGCATCCTCAAGATGGCAGGTGCTTTAATTTTCAGGAGACCTAAAATATGACGGCGGATATCTACTTCATCAAACATGTCGTCTTCTGGAGATATGACGACAGCACTGCTATAGGAGTCAAGCAATAAAGCCTCTTGAATCACATCAGTTGTGAATATTGTGTTCATATCTAATAGACTGATATCTTCATCATCTGATGATTGGAACTGTAATATCGTTGTTATAATATTTACTGTTTGTGACATTTAAGTTTAATTTAATTCAGATCGTAATTGAAAGTGCTATACTATAGCCATGTCAAGCCACCAATAGCAATACAATCACAAAGCGTGTAATAAATTTTTATAACGATGTCACGGTTGTTTTCTTCTTTTGGTAGCCTTATTTTAAGTGTAAACGGAAAGTTACATAAAATTAGAGATAAGTACGTGTAGGTAAGGTAACTATAATTTTTTTGCGTTACATTGATCCCACTCGGATAACGTAGAGCTTACATAGGTAATTTTTCCATGGCTAGATACCGATCTTACAATTGTTTCTACGTTGTTTATTTATAAAATGCTCCTAACAGTTGAAATACCATAGATTTATATAAGATTCACTTACATCTGTTACGACCTCTAGTGCTGCATATGAAGCTAGACCAGATATCACCCACTGATCTTTCCAGTCTTCAGGATACACCAGATAACCAAACCATTGCCTTGCCATAGCTTCGGCAATTTTCACCAATGCAGTCTTTTGTTGCATCATTGAGTGAGTGTTCGTCATAAAAATGTATGGCTCCCTTAGAAGAAAGATTGCGTAACAAATTGTAAGCCATAAATAGTTAATTATCACTAATTACTACACTAACTAACTTATGTAGTGTGAGCTATGCCAAACTCACAGTCTTTCACACCTCAGTGTGAAAGACTGTGAGTTTGGCATAGCTAACATGTATAACAGTGAGCTGTTATATATGTAAATCATATTTGCAATTTCAGACTTAGAATATCCAATGTTAGTCACTAAGTATTGTTATGGCATTCAAATATTACATTGGCGGGCAGCGCACTATGTTAGATAGAAAACGGACTTATATGGATGAAAGTAAAATAAGCATGCATATGGAGACAGTGCTGTTAAAAATTGCAAAAGATTACTTTTAATTTGTCGCGTTGTGAACTATGACGGACTATCCGAACGGTGACGCTGCATTGAACAACATATAAATTAAAACTACCCTCCCATAGTGCGTTGAAACAGCGCGCGGCGACATATTTTTTCTGACTTAAATTCATATATTTTATATATCTTGTCCTACATAAAATATATAAACCTGAGATAAGATGCTTTATTCTTTATTGACGTAGTTTTCTTATAAACCTATTTTAGAGCTACTGAGAAACCACTCAACATTATTAAAGATGAAGAAAATAAATACGACCTTATATAATTAATCGTTGTAACCTCAGAAAAAATTAATTACTAAAAACATTTTACTTAAACTGGGTGTCTAAAAAAACTTAAAAAAACATATTGTGAATCTCAACAACATTACATTGTTAATGTGTTTGGATTTATTATGTCTAGTAGCTAGGTACCAATTGTTACAATACAACTTACCATATGCAGACAGTAGATAAGGCATTCCATTCCACGTTAGTATCAGGTAGAGCAAAGATATGCATTCTTCCGTCTTGATTTTCATCAATGTTGAAGTATGCTTTATCCAACTTTTCGTTGAAGGCAGCCATAAAGGCGTTAATAGCTACGCTGGCTAAGTTGTGTTGATTTAAATTAGAACGACCGTAGAGCACTACATTTGTTGTTGGCATGCCGACACTAACGAAATTATGTGCAACCATGCCCCAAAGATTTGGTGGTACGTTAAGGGCGCGGAATTGGTTCCTGCAAGTTTATATTAGTTTATATTTCTAAGGAGTTTATGTATCTTTAGCAAATTAATTATTAACGCATATACGTGTAATAATTCAAAAAGTTTGCTAATTAAAAGAACTTACGAATCATCATCTTCCTTTCTAGAGTTGGAGACAATTTCGTCAAAAGGGACGTCTTCGAAGGTAAAACTGATGGAAGTGGCAGCTGTCAACTCATCCACGCAGGGAAGCACGCGTCGGGCGTTCGTCGGGAAAAGGTTAATTATTATATACTGACTGGAAAGATGGCAAAGATTAAATCATTCATTTATATTCACGTTCATTATTTAAGCAAACTTACCAAGATAATAACAAAAAACATTTTAAAATTTCACTCGCGTTTACTAGTTTGTATACTATTATAAAAGCAAATGATTTTTTCTGACCCCTGATGTGTAAATTAGGTACTTACTAGTCATTAAAACTTCCTTGGAATATTCCGTTTCCAAAGTTGCTTATTTCTCCAGAGTATTCAATAACAACGACTCGATGTCTACCTCCACCATCTAGGAATATTTCTAATGTTCCATCTTCAGGATTGAAATCCGTCGGTAGTGCTTCCTCCGGCGTGCTTAGTCCAGTACGCACCTCGTGTACATCAAGCGCTTCTAGGTGAAATATAAGAGGGTCCTCTGTAGAATCAAATAGTACGTCGATCACTGCTTCGCCGTTAAACGTGTCACCGTCAAATGCAATTTTAACCGAGTAATTTTGTATTATCTGCCCTGGCCTGATGTTTCTTCTAAGACTGCGGGTGCTATTAATTAAAGCTATATTCGCATCTTCAGTATAAACAGCCTCGTTACTTGACCTAGCATTTACCACTACATCGGATTTGAATGTTCTAATTTCAGAATCACTTATCACTTCTGGTCCATCTAACTGCAGTGTTTTTGACTTCGGTAAACTAGTATCGGTCAAATGTAATGCAGACAGACTTTTCTCAATCGACAAGGATTTTGTAAGCACATTTAAAATAAGCACAGATAATAAGAAGAAAAAACTCCATTTTATTCTATTCCGGACCATTTTTTTCGATTATAAATGGCCGGTTACACTAAATATTGAGTTCCTATCGATCCCATGCGATCGTAACCCGACAACGTTCTATTATAAATGGGCTGAGTAGCCAGAATCACACGACAGATTCTACATGCTGATAATGTCACTTTATAGATAGGAAAACAAATTGCTAAACCGAATTTTTATCGTACTAAGATTAAGATATACTTAGAATACGATCTACTACGACGCTCATCAAAACTCACCATAATTTCTTTTATAAATATTAAACAGAATTGATCACACACAACACACTAATAAATAAGATAAATTAAGATAAGATAAATATATTTTCATTATAACTTAATCTAATATAATACAAGTAAACTAATGTAAATGAAGTAAAATAATATTAAAAAAATAACCTTACTTATACATTCTTCACAGTAAAACTGTACAATTTGATCATAGAATCTAAATAGTGCAGTAAATGACACACAGCCTATCTACCTAGCCTGCCTAACGCACAGTCATTTCTTAACATCATAATTATATTTTCAATGTCAATTTTGTCAATGTTGATTACGGTAAACGAATGCAACTGTGAGGCGTGTGGTGAGGTCCTAGTTACTGTTGAAAGTGGGACATTAATTTCTGGCTTTTCAGTTAGAACTTTTCCTACAAGACGACGATTTGCAGTTGAGTAAAACTAATATTCGTAATATTTTAGATGACTTTCCATAATATTTTTTTATCGTGACCGTGTATTAGTTATTTATGCCTATATTTAATTTTAATAGATTGTTACAGAAATTTCAGCATATATCGTCACTCTTAAATTCAATTGTCGTAAGGGACAAAGTGCAGGTTTACAGTATGAGCAAAAAACAAAAAAAAAATATTTAAAAAATGATGTAACTTTTCAATTTTTAAAGCTATGAGGTAGATGTCTTAGACTAAACTGTTTGAAATACAGTCCGCTTTTATGAAATAATGCTTGAAACTGTCTAAATTTAATAATTATGGAGATAATAACGTATAACGACTGTTTCGAAATATTTACGTCCTGTTTTAAAATCCAAATTTGGTTTTAAAAGTCACCTGAAAAAATTTGGAAATAGCGCTTTCACCCTTTCTACAAAACACCGACGAAATGATACGTACTTTTGCTACAAATAGTTCTAAAAGACATTATTTTTGTTAATAATAAGATGGTTTTAAAACCAAAATTTAATTTTAAAACTGGACAGGACAGGATTTCAATTTGAAATCTTAAACTTAATTAATTAATTAACTAACAACACTTAACTATTTAAGTTTAAGATTCAATTTAAAACAGGATTGTAAAGTTGAGGCAAATCAAATATTCTTTTGCTTGATATCTGTAATTCACATAAATAAGTTAGATTGCTGCTGTCTACCTCTTTTGCCCTTTCCTCTTCCTTTTTCTTTCCTAACCAACATAGTAAATAACAACGACGTATGTGTTTGCGCTTCGTTATAGTATATTTTATTTAAATTTTATTCAAATTGTTATTTTTTTAAATAACTACACGAATGTCTTTCATCTTTATTTCCTTTTGTGAACTTGTTGTGGAAGTATCTGCAGTAATAGTTTTCCAGTTAATGAAATCAGAGTATTCAATGACATTGCTGTTTTACGGTTTTGGGTTCTTTCGTGCATACTCTATATACGTCGGCCATTGATAAGCACACCATACTATCACTTTTTAGCTCAATCTCGATTACGGCATGGACTGAACGGGCATGTAAGTGTGCCCTGGTAAAGGGTAGTTAATCTATACAACGTCAATATTTTGGGAAATATGCAAAAAGTGGTTAATTGCAGCCAAAACAACTTTATTTTTATTCTGGCCACAGCAAAATCGCACTAATGCAGCACATTTTTATAGCTCTCACTAGCTTACAGTGTAAATAAGAAACTTTTGGGTGATGTCCAATGCTTTCAGTAGAAACTGTTGACATATCTCCATAAATGATCTTCCCCATCATTCAAGTAATATTCCTAGGTTATCTGGTTCTGCTTATGTCTTGTTTCGTTTTTCGCCTTTTTATTGAAACTGCTTTAACACAGCGTGCTAACCAGTCGCGTTGACGTTGAGGATCTAGAGTCCAATAAAAAGCTAACAAATGTTTTCTTCTCTCCTCTAGTGTTTTGTAACAACCCCTTCCACATTTACTTACCACACAAGGTTTTGCCTTTAAGCTCTTTTTTCCTCCTCCCCTTTCCCTGATTTTATTGTATATGCATTCCTTCGTTTCTAGACTGTTTTTTAGGCTTCCTTACACGTCTCTTTGACATCATAGTTTCTTTCGTAGGTTTTTCTTTTTTGTTTATTTTCTTTTTTTTAATTATTCTTACATGTTTCTTCAACACTTGAACTTTCAGACTCTTTAGCCGTCCAATTATCATAATTTCCGTCAGAAAAAAATTCTAAATCTTCATCAAATACAAAATCAATACATGATTTTCCAAAATTATTTTCTTGAAGTCTCTTTTTTTCTTTTTTAGATCATAGGCCGAAAATGAGCGTCTTCATTATCTAACACATGATAATTTGACAATATCACGCTGCAAAGTTGTGGATCTGCAATATCGTTTGCAGGCGTAATATTAAATAACAAAGGACTCAGGGCATCGGCTACTGGTTCCAATATACAAGGAGTTGTCAGAGAAGTTGCAGATACATCAAGTGTCGGAGATATAAAATCACTGGTTATCTCTTAGACATTATTTACAGGAAATGGTATCACACTGCAGGGTAGTAGAGCTGCAACATCGTCTGTAAACGTAACATCCAGTAAAGAAGGATTAAAGGCACCTATTACTAAAGGGACCGCTGATTTGAAGTAATATTTCAATTCACCTACTGATTGGTCACAGTATCTGCAAATACATCAGACATCGAGTGTTATAAGTAAATCATTACAAATAAAACTAGACGAAAGTTGAAAGCGACGATAAAACGTTGTTTTTTTTTTAAATTGCAGACAATTTAAATGGTTGGTAACTAGGAATAAGAATCTATTTTACTCACCTGTATAACATGTACACACAAACACACTATACAAATATTATTTTTCATTTAACGCGTGCATGACAATTTCAGGGACAAGAAATAACAGGTCGAAAGAAAGTCGAAACTGGTAACCTGGTAACCAATAGGTACTGGAGGCTTATTGGAAATGTAACCACAACTACGATTTCTAATAATGTGAATTGAATCTATTTTATTGTTTACGTCATAATCGTTTCATTACCATAATATCATTATTATTACTCTACTCACCTTAAATATATACTTAGCCTTTCTCGTCCGTTATATGAATTGAATCGTTTTTTTTAATATATTTTCTCATGTTAAGTGATCATTACGCATATCGCTAGTAAGAAAAGAGTAGATAATCTACAAAACAGAGATGTGATGTTTTCACAGAAATTTTTAAATATTTAGTTACATTTTATTAATGAACGCATCGATTTTAAAAATCAATGAATTGAAATAAAAAGGTTGGCCAACAATGTAGGTAAGTAAAATAATAGAATAATTTGTAAGTCAATGAGAATAATAGAATTTATTGTAGTTATTGTTGAAAATCCTTGTACTTAATTTAAAAATTCAAATTCTATTTTCAATTTTAATTTGACGTAATCACTTTTTTTTGCATTTCAATATAAGATGCACTTGGTGATTTACACGTGAGATGTAACGAATCAATTACTCTACTCTTTGTAAAGAACAAAATAAACGATTTTATGTAGCGTAACGGACAAATAGTAAATTTAGTGAGAAGTAAAGTCCAAAATAGCTTTGTTTAAAATAGTGTAAGGGACAGGAAGGTAGCATCAAAGAAGTTACCCCAAATTTTCTTGTTTAGATTGGCATTTAAGGCAAAACTTTACAGAAATTTTGAAATAATAATAATAATAACGCACACACTCAACATAGCCCCGCACTAGGGAAACCCTGTGTCGCGGGTGCCATGGACACACACATAGACAACCACAAGTTACACCCAAACTCACGAGAGAAATAAATGTAGGCCATACATATATTTTACATTATACAAATTTATAAAAGACATCAAACGAACTTTTATTATGGTAAATTAACTCCATCATGAGTAAAGAGATTATCGTATCCATTATTTAGAACAAAATTTGTAGATAAATTCATTCAAATATTTCTCCCGGCCCGGGAATCGAACCCGGGGTCCTCTGCGTGGCAGTCCGGTATGGTAACCGTTCGGCCACGGAGACAGTAGTAGGTAGTAGTTAGTTAGTTAGTTAAATAGGCGTCTTATGATGCAAAATGTTGCATTTTACATTGCATATATTCAGGGATGTAAGGGATTTATTTGAAGAGCCATCGAAATTCTAAATATACAGAAAGATAGAGGAGAAAGGAAGGAAGGAAGGAAAAGGAAATAATGGTGCAATAAAAAAATGCTTGGATGTCCCGTACGACAATGCAATTTAAGAGCGCATAATAAGTAGTTTTAAATAATGGATTACCGGGAAACTTAACAATTTTTTTATTAAGTTTATCACTATTTTTAATGCAGAGCAATCCAAATTACAAAATAATTATAGTATCGCTATAAAATTGCTCTTTGGATGGCCCCAGTATTGGAGACATCAAAGCTTGCAAGGTCACGAGACACGTTACCTCCTTACTTAGCTCTGTATAAGAATCGATAGATTGGGTTCTATTGAAATTATTTTGTAGGCTTAATATAATAGTATTGTATAGTGACCAGATAGAATGGTTTTAATAAAGTTTACGGTAAGGATGGCTTGGCTAATAAGGTCTAAGCATTTAAGATCCCACATCAGATCAAGATGGGTCGGCAGGTAACCATTTTGCTATTTTTGCTATCTTTATAGTCGATCTTAATGTCAATATTTAGGTCTCCAAGAATAAATAAGTTTCGAAAAGATGAAAGTGATTTCATAACGTCACTTAGGGAAAGTAAAAAAATTGTGACATTTCTGTATG